TGAACCCCACTGTACTGACTAGTCTGTGGTGTGAACTGAACTTTTTTGTATCCTGCAATACATAATATGAATCCCATACAGGAGGCTCTGAGGCAAAACCACATGTTAGCCATCAATGTAACCTTTTTATTTTCGCTGTGCCATAGAGAGGCTACTAATCAGTGCACAGAGGTCACCCACCTGCCCTCTGGATCATAGTTCACACACACAATTAATTCATTATGGGGAAAAGTCCCTGCTGGAGGTTGAACTGGCCATTTCAGTTTTTTTGAGGTGAATGTGCTGCCACTGACCTGGAGAATAGCTCCATTAGCCCAAACTCTGATAAATCGCGTTTCCTCATGCTCTTTTGTTTAATCAGTAGATAATATAAAATAATAAACAGCACACTAGCCCATCAAAGACACTGCAGTTATGACTATGGTATGGGCATCAGCTGCATAAGACAGGGTGGAATACAAATCTTCGTATTGAATAAGAAGTCCTTTTACACGTTGCCATTAATAGGGAAAAACTGCCCTTGGCATATGAATTACTAATACTCTATGAGGGAGGAAAATAATAAATAATTATTACCACTACAACACCTTCCATCTAAAAACTTCAGCTTTACAAAAGAAATAAGGAAATATCCTCAAACCTTTGTAATGTTAGGGAATTATTATACATACAGGGATACTGAGGCACAGAAAGACTGAGTGGCTTTCTCAATGTCACACACAATGCCTGAGGATAGGACTCCTGACAACCACGCCTATGCTTTAGCCACAAGACCAACTTTCATTTAATAATCACTGGTAACTATTAGCTTATTCAGTAAGTCAGGACTTTGCTTACCACAAATTAGGTTTTCCAAAAGTGTAGTGTATATGCACACATATAGCATTTGTTGTGCTGTCATTTGCATATTTCTGCCAATGCTTTTTGTGCAAGAGGTTTTTGTGCAAAAACAAGCCGTGTAGATGGGTCCGTTTTGTGCAAAAAAAACCTTTTGTGCAAGATCCTTATGCCTCAAAAAAGGAGGCATAAGGATCTTGCGCAAAAGGGTTTTTTTTGCGCAAAACAGACCCATCTACACGGCTTGTTTTTGCACAAAAAGCATCGGCAGAGAATATGCAAATGACAGCATGACAAATGCTAATGAGCGCTTCATTAGCATACTCTCTGCCAACAATAGCCTGCAGTGTAAACATAGTCATAGAGCATGCTGGGAGCAATTATTTTTATCCCTTTAAAGCCAGTTAATTACGACTCTAATTCAGCAGATTACTTTAGCACATGCTTAATTTTAAGCACGTGAATCAATGAGGGACCACTTAGACTATTCACATGCTTAAGGTTAACCTGGACATCAGTACTTTGCTGAGAAAGGACCGTCAATACCCTCTGCCTAACTGCACAACACTCAGAGAGAAAAATTACTGAAATTTAAAATAATTCAAATAATAAAATAAAAATGGGAGGACATTTCTATGCAATCTTTCCAGACATTCTAGAGCTATAAGTATAGGCTGGTTGGGCTCTGGTGAAAGTAGGACATTTCACTACCCTGCAGCACTGAGATTCTGTTTTTTGTTCTGACAGGTAACAAGATTTTTTTATTCTAATCCTATGAGAGAATGATTCTTGTCCATTTGGGTGTTAGGCCGATATAATTGGGGGTGGGAGGAAAGAGAATTTTTGCATTTTGAGGGAAAGGGAACCACTTCCTTAGAAAGTTTACTTTTAAAATAATGCCAGCTGCTTGAAATTCCTGAGAGTTTTTGAATGCTGCAAGCAGTCCTAATGGGCAGAGCGTAAGTGAGGCAAACAGTGATAATAAATACAATTTGTCCCATGGTTGTCAGTACCACATTCTGAAGGTGTCAGTAGTGACACCATAATTAAGGTTACATTGAGATAGACACAAAATTTAAATCTTTCTATTTCAGAGGGAATTTTGTTTCCAAAGATCACAGTTAGTTTCCCCCCCACCCTGTAGTGTCTTAATGGAGGTGTGTTAACCTTTTGCATTGGAAATATGACAGATCTACTTAGGTCCACTCTATGGAGGTTCCATCCTGCAGATCCACAGGAAGCACATAATAAGGAAGAAATTCCCCTCCCCCACCAGCTCCATTCCTGTGGGATTTGAAGCTTCAAGTCTTCTCCTCTCCTTGGTCTTTGTTTGTAATAGAGACTGGGACATGATAAAGGGCAACAGGGAGGAGGTTACAGTTCATGTGATGCCTTATGAGTGAAAGAAATAGAAAAGGTTTAATATATTGTATGGAATCCTTGGGAACTGTATCTCCATTAATAAACATATTAGCCCTTGTGTCTAACTCATATGACTTGCTCTTTGATTGCTAATACATTTGTCAGCAGCGGAGGGATGCTACTATCCCACAACCAACCTTGTCATATTGGATGTGTTGTAGCATATGTTATCTTGTGAAAGGAATTTCTAAACATACTGCAACAACATGTATTTGAGTGTATCTCTCAATTTAATTTACAGAGCAAAACTCACCCGGCCTGCCAGTTATAAAACTATTTCTCAGCTGCACATTGCACAAAACACAAGATTTATTATTTTATTACTTCACTGAAATGTGTAGGAGAACAAACACATAGAAAAACAGTAAATGATGTCAATTACTGTACATTAATTGGGGAGTTTATATTACATATCTGTGCTTTGTGTTGGTTTAGCCACATTAAACAAGATGCAGTACACCTGAGGTGCACACACTATACAGTCATATTTCTGGTGAGCTATGTGTCACTCTTGTGGTTTATGTTTACATTAGAAACCATCCTAACTTCACTGTGCCATTTTACTGCTATTGAGTATTATTGCATGAGCATTCCCACTGACATCAATGGGTCTATGTAACAGTGTCTCGCCTCTCCAACACAGGTACTGCTGCCATTCAGTTTCCTCAGAGCCTCCCTCCACTGTTCAATAGGCTTAGTCTTTTGGCTAAACCAAAATGATCCTATCTACTATATAAGAAAAACGAGATGTCCACAATACAAGTCTGTGATTCTGGGCTATAATCCTCTTGTTGGGGTCTGTGTAATCCTTGCTCTTTGAGGAGTATAACCATGCCTCTCTAGCTGGCACCTCAGTGCCACAGGAGAGCTCCTGCTTTGACCCTAGAAGCCCAGAGAGAAGGTGACTGCTCATTCCAAATTCAATGACTACTGTTTCACTTTTCCCTCAAAGCCTCTTCCTATATTTGTCTTACCCTACAATCCCTTTCACTATATTCTACAGTACAGCTCCCCCTGGGCTCCTTCCCTCACTCCTTCTCTTCTGGGTGTACCTCCACTGTTCTTCAAAACCTGCTCACTGAAAAACCTCCCCAGCTAGCTGCTACCATGCACAACAAGGTCAAAGGAGATCTTATTACAGTAAAACTCCAATTGTCTGGCATCCAGTGGTCTGGCACTCCCGATAGTCCGGCACCAACTGGAACCCAGAAGTGCTCCAGCCAGCCGGACAATTGGAGCTGCTCCGCGCCGCTTCCTCAAGTCCGCTGCTGAAACTGACCAGCTGCGGACCTGGGGAAGTGGTGCGGAGCACAGCAGCTGGGGTGCTGCCGGGTTGGTCCTGCAGAGCTGCCCCACACACCCCTGTTCGGTGCCCGGCAGCACCCCAGCTGCTCTGCCCCATGGCTTCCCCAAGTCCGCCGCTGGTTAGTTTCAGAAGTGGACTTGAGAAAGCAGCGCAGAGCAACTCCAATTGTCCAGCTGGCCGACGCACTGCTGGGTTCCAGTTGGTGCCAGACTTTTGGGAGTGCCGGACCACTGGAGTTTTACTGGATAAGATTTTGACTACAAGATGTAGGCCTCAGACAAGCACAAGGCAGATTTATTCGGGCAGCGGACTGGGGGAAGCTGCAGAGCAGAGCAGCTGAGGTGCTGCCGGGCGCTGAGCAGGGGGGTAAGGGGCAGCAGTTTCAACAGCGATGGACTTGGGGAAGCCATGGGGCAGAGCAGCTGAAGTGCTGCCGGGTTGGTCCCGCAGCACTGCCCCTCACCAGCACCTGGTTCGCCCCACGCCGTGCTGTTCCCTGCCCGAGCCCCTCCCCCAGGCCCCTCACAGCCCCCCTGCCGGAGTACCTCCTGATACTCTGGCATATCTGATAATCCGGCACCCCCTGGGTCCCAAAGGTGCCAGATTATCGGAAGTCTACTGTATATCTCTGGCTCCTTTCCTGGCAGCTTTCAGTTAGTTCTTCTGTCCCTCAGGAAACTACAAGTCCCAGAATTCTTGTGTTCCAGGCTGGACCTCAGAATAGGAATGGGCTGAACCTGAGTCACCATAAATGGTAAAAGACTGTGTATGGAATAAGGTTTTAATCAACATGTCTACATATGGAATTATTCTGGATTGTTTACATAGAGAGTTTGATCAATAAAATATAACTCCATATGTAGATAAAATCATAGAACTTGAAGGGACCTCAAAAGGTCATCAAGTCCAGTCCCCCGCCCTCATGGCAGGGCCAAGCACCATCTAGATAATCTCTGACAGGTGTTTGTCTAATCTGCTCTTATAATTTTCTAATGACAGAGATTCCACACCCTCCCTAAGCAATTTATTCCAGTGTTTAAAATCTAGCCCTACATTTACATGTGCATGAAGCATTTTGCTGGAGTATCATTTGCTCCAAATAAAATCCCCAAACCAGGTACTTTCCAGTATCCTGGGTCAGTTGTTAATGTTAATATTTACAGATGCTAGTGTTATTTAATGGAATTTCATTATTTTTAAGATGCCAATATTGAATATAGAAACAGTCATTCCACAATATATCCCCACACTACTGTATCTTTGCCATTAGACCAGTTTCCACTCCCATCTGAAATGTTTCTCTTTTATGCACTACAACTGTGACTTCCAGGTAAAGGAGGGAAATCAGAGAGCAGCGAGGGTTTAGAACCTTTCCTGCTCTAAAAGGCTAAACAATTACCTGGTCCATAAAGGGACCTGAGTGTATTATTCTTACCTCAGCTTGAGAGTTAGATGGCAAAAGTGAGGTTTCATTTTCTGTCACGTTTCCAGTAGGGCCATTGCTTGGTGAGCTGGGCCCTGTTCCTGGGGAACTGCTACTAACTGATGACTCTGAAAAACAGATTAAGCACATATGAATTTATTAGCAATCCAAAAATCCAGCTGTGATTAAGATGAACAATATATTTCTTATAGCATAGTTTTTCTTTTGTTGAAGAATCATTTTCCTGTATGAATGGACTTTTTCCTATAACATATAGCCCCCCTCTAGATCGTCGCCTTGTATTTTCTCTTAGTCCCAATTTGTTTCTAACCTTGAAAAGAGATAATTTCATTCGTTTCCCCTCTTGATCCCTTCTGCACAAAGGGGGAATTTATTACTTGAGTTTCCTGCAAAGATGGCAAGTTACTCGGTGGCAGGCAGAGATGTACAAACAGAACTCCTAATGAGGAAAAAGGAAAGGAAGTAGTTTTTATTGCATACTCTTCTGCCTCTGTGAGAGATCAAAATGACAAAAACAGTAGACTTGCAAAGGTCATGATAACATGTCATCAATTCATGAGGCCTACTGTCATTCCCTTTCTGTTTGGGAAGGGCTCTAGAGTATTCAGTTGTGAACTAACCTCTATATGAGTAACCAATAAAAAACAATACACCATTTGCAATACATCTCTGTCAGAAAGGCATGAGGGACTGTTTGCAGCATACAAAATCTTAAAATAGCATTTTGAGGTCTATAATTTACCTAGTCTTGGTTCAAAGATTCCAAGGAGTTTTGGTTAAGACAAAAGGTAGTATCATTTCAGGAAATGATACATCTGCTATTGGTGATTTATATCATGGGAAGTTATTCTGTACTTGCAAAGAAATAGATTTGATGATCTAGTGGATCATCATCAAATCTGTTACAAATCCTATATTTATGACAATGGGAGTTTTTGTACAGAGGAAAAAATGTAAATAACTAAAATGAGAATTGCACAGCCTTAACAGAGTTAATAATATTTGATAGAACATTGTTTATGCAAACTATGTCAAAAATTTAGAGACTGTCTTTAATTATTCAGCTGTCAATTTATGGCTATTACGAATTCTTTGCTCTCTCTGTTTTGGGTAGCTTTGTTAGGTCTCCTCTTCTCACTGAAGAAAATGGGAGTTTTGCTGGTGACTTTAAGGATTTATTCCTACTCCCAACTAAAGTACGTTTTTGCAATTCACAGTCCATCAAAAAACTAATAATATAGGGCTGTGTCAGGAAACATTTTTACAAAAAAAAATCTGATTTTAATTTTTTAAATGAAACCCCAGACCAATAATTCTCACTTTTCAGATTTTGAAAAGGTAATTTTATGATAATTGGGAATTTTTGCATTCATTTTACTTTAGTGAAAAAGACATTTTCTTTCTTTTTTTTTTAAAAAAAAAAAAGAAAGAAAATGTTTGATCATCTGTACCTTTAGCTGATGAGGGGCTATATACAAAGTGTGATAGAGGCAAAAATCTCAATCACAAGTCTATAGCAATCTGTGGAAAAAGTGAGTCCTGGGAATATATTTTCAAGTATATAAATAATCATTGGTAATAAGTCAGTGACAGACTCAGGATTAGAACAGAAAAGTCCCAACACACAATCATGTACTTTAACTATGGCTACGGCACTTTTACTAAAATAATTAATGTTTTCCTTTAAACATCACTTGAAAATGTGTGTCACAAAGGAATGGGGCTCTCTAGAAATGTGTCAGTAAAGAGAGAATAGGCAATAACATACCAACCTTCAGATCCCCAACAAATTCAGCAATTATACTTAACACCATTGCTATCTGACCAACATTGCTTGATCAGACAGCAATGTTATGGACAGCTTTATAGTCAGCTGTTCCCTGGTGATTAAGAACATTTGAGTGTTTTCTTTTACATTTGCACTCATGTCACAATCCCACATAGTCAGCAATAAACACTATGAAAAGATATCCTGAAAATGTACTTATTATATATATATATATATATATATATATATATATATTCCACGAGGAGTAACAGTTAATTCAAGGGAAGGGTTTTGGGTCGGACTACCGCGTCTACACACGGCAAGTTAATAGGGCTACCGGCATTTTAAAATGGCGACCGACCGTGAATATGCTAATCAAGCATGGGATATTTAAATCCCACACTTCATGAGCAACTTCGGTATGCTTCATTTGCTCCCTAGTTCAAACTAGGGGGGAAGTGTAGACATATCCTTTGAGAGGCAGCAAGTGTGGGGGTGGGGGGTAAGCCCGTGCTGGGGAGAAGCTGTCTTAAAAGTCGGCTTCCCCCAGCACCGTCTCCGCAATGCCGCCTTCCCCCTCCGCTGACTCTCTCAGAGGCAGCAGGGTAGGGGTGAGATAGGGGAGGGAACTGGGTCCCCCAAGGACAGGAGCTGCTTCTTCCAAAGCAGCCCCTGTTCACAGCCTCTGTCAGTAGCCCCTGGCTGCAGCTAGCCCTGGCTGCCGTGAAAAGGGCTGCTGGACTCGGCATGGTCCAGGACACTGTGCCTCTGCATTTTAAATTTAGTAAGAGCCCAGCCGGCTCCAGGAGCTACCCCCGCTGCGGCTCTGCAGGGCGACCCCTTATTGACTAATCATGTAGTTGACAAATTGCATCGATACAGAATTAGCCAGATTATATAAGCGAGTGTCATCAAAATCAGGACTAGACATTGTGGATTCTCCTATTTTATCCAAATTAATGGGCCAAGCCCTGAAAGCATTCTATGTCTGCATGGGTATGTCTACACTACAAAGTTAGTTCGAACTAACAGACGTTAGTTCGAACTAACTTTCATAGGCACTACACTAGCGCTCCGTTAGTTCGAATTTAATTCGAACTAACGGAGCGCTTAGTTCGAACTAGGAAAACCTCATTTTACGAGGATTAAGCCTAGTTCGAACTAGCTAGTTCGAATTAAGGGGTGTGTAGCCCCTTAATTCGAACTAGTGGGAGGCTAGCCCTCCCCAGCTTTCCCTGGTGGCCACTCTGGCCAACACTAGGGAAACTCGTCTGACCCCCTCCCGGCCCTGGACCCCTTAAAGGGGCACGGGTTGGCTACGGTGCCCGTGCCAGGTGCAAGCCTGCCAGCACCCAGCCAGCAGACCCTGCACCTGGCACGGCTCCAGCCCGCCCCCCCGCGGAAACTGCCCCATTTTATCCCTTCACTGTTTTGGATATGGTAGCTTAGTTAACAGTACTAAAACATGTTTACATTCGAAAAAATCACAGCAGTCACTGAACAGTCAGTCACAGAACAGCAATGGTACTTCATGTGTGATTGATGCTGGATACAAATCTCTAAATAGTCATTCATCCATCCTTCACAGGCAATTCATTGCAACATTTTATTCTGTCTATCGCAGGGCTGGCTTTAGGAAGTGCGGGGCCCAATTCAAACCAAATTTTGGTTGAGGGGAAAAAAAAAACCAACAACAACCCAGCACACAAAGAAACAACTCACAGCCATTTGTCTCGTGCCATCCCTCTCCAGCCTTCCACAAACTTTGGGCAGGACACCACTCCTACCCCCTGGCTAATATTACTCCCAACCTCCATCACTTTATCTCACTTCTCTTTAAACTCTGTTCTAGTTCTAGCCTTCACAGCCTCCTGCAGCAAGGAGTTCCACAGGTTGACTCTTTGCTTTGTGAAGAACAACTTTCTGTTACTAGTTTGAAGCCTGCTACCCATTCCTTTCCTTTGGTGTCCTCTAGTCCTTCTTTATGGGAACTAATGAAGAACTTTTCTTTATGCACCCTCTCCACCCCACTCATGCTTTTATAGACCTCTATCCTGTCCCCCCTCCATCTTCTCTTTTCTAAGCTGAAAAGTCCCAGTCTCTTTAGCCTCTCTTCATATGGGACCTGTTCCCAACCCCTGATCATTTTAGTTGCCCTCCCCTCTCCCAGCCTCTCTCTTCCCCTCTCCCACCTCCTTTTCCCAGTCTCCCCCAGTTTTGTTCAATAAAGACAGATTCCATTTTGGAAGACACGTTATCTTTATTTTGTACATCAAGAAGAGGGGCTAGGGAAGGGTAAATGGAAGGAGGTGAGGGAGGAATGGGGCATGAGCCCCCGATGGGGAGGACTGGGATGGCTCTGCGGGCTTCTGGGGGTGGAAGCTCTCCTGCAGCCCTCCAATTGCCCCCTTTCCCCAGATGGCAGCCTGCGGCAAGTGCAGCCGGTCTGATGGCCGAGTGCTGTGATGTGCCCAGTGTGGGTACTCCGGGCACTCCAAGCCAGGACTGCTTTGCAAGCGGGGCACCCCTAAGAACTGTCTGTCTGGGGTGGGGGTCGGGTCCCTTTAAGCACAGCCCTCGGCTAGCCTGAGACAGCATCTCCACGCTCTAAGTTCTCCTCTGATGCCCTGCCGGCACTGCTTCCGGCCATCCTTAAGCCCGGTTCAGGGTCCACTTAATGTGGACATGCTAGTTCGAATTAGCAAAACGCTAATTCGAACTAGTTTTTTAGTCTGGATCCGTTAGTTCGAATTAGCTTAGTTCGAATTAACTAATTTGAACTAAGTTAGTTCGAATTAACGTTGTAGTGTAGACATACCCCATGTTTGGGAGTCTGGATTTCAAGGTGTTTGCACAGGGGATAATTCAAAGCAAAATAATGGCACACTAATGATAAACATACAAATAACTTTGTGACTATACAAAGTATGCAAAAGTATACTACGTTATTAAAATATCATTGGTCTCTTCATTTACTTAGTTCAAATGTGTGGAAAAGAGCTCACAGCTAATTTTAATTAACCTAAAATCTTTCATTTTGGAGATTTTCTCTCTATATAACTTTTCTCAAGGTTCAAAACTTTTCCTTTATAACATCCTAAAATTCCTTTTAATTATTAGCAGCACTAATGACTGAAAAAATGCACCAATGAATATTACACTACTCTGTAAATATATCAAGTCACAAAATACTTCGGTGAGGTTTCAAAAAAGAACTAGATAAATTCATGGAGGATAGGTCTACCTATGGCTATTAGCCAGAATGGGTAGGAATGGTGTCCTAACCTCTGTAAGAAGTTGAGAATGGGCATTAGGGGATGGATCACTTGGGGTATGTCTACACTATGGGATAATGTAGAATTAAGACATGCAACTTCAGCTATGTTAATTGCATAGCTGAAGTGGAAGCACCTTAACTCAACTTCTGGCGCTATCCACACTGCAGAAAGTGGAAAAGAGCACACTGCCCTTACTCCTCCTGGAAGCAAGACTACCAGCATCGACCGGAGTGCCCCTCTCAGTTTGAATTAGCATGTCTTCACTAGACCTGGTAAATCAAACCCTGAAAGATTGACAGTAGCAGCTTCGGTCTTCTCCGTCATGTAGACATATCTTTGGTGATTACCTGTTCTGTTCATTTCCCCCTGCGGCGCCAGGAATTGGCCACTGTCAGAATACAGGATCCTGGGCTAGATGGACCTTTGGTTTGACCCAGTATGGGTCTTATGAGTTCTTAAAATAAAAAATAATTAAGGCTGATATTTTCAAACAACCGGAACCAGGAGAAGTGGTGAAACATGATTTTAAAAAGATTGTGAAGAGTCACCCTCACTTCAAAATCTTCCTTTTGAAAATATCAGACCTCACTCATCAAAATTGTTAATCCAAGTAATACTTCTAAGGAAATGGGTGTCCTCTACCATATTTGAAAAAAATCAACAAGATAATAGTTCTCATTTTTTGCATTGCGTTCAAAACATTCAGACATTTTTTAAAATTCTTGGAGATCTCTCGCTTCAGAGAAAGATGTCCCCAAAACGTACATTGCTCACTCCAAAAGAAACTAAATTGTCAGATTATCCCATCAGTAATTAAGCTGACACATAGGTTAGATTGCCACTCTGGGCTATTGAAAATTATAAAATATTTCCTTTAGTAAAAAAGAATACAAGCCTTCTCACACAGCATATCTCGGTTCCCTGGGAAAACACACAAAGCCAAAAGCAGGTGGAATTTCAGTAACTTCAGGGGAGTTGTACATAGACACATGCATTCCTCTTCAGAAATCTTCATGTGGTTTGTGGGTCCCTACGCTTTAGAGATCCCATCAAGGCCTTTCAGTCTCCAGAAGCAGCATCTGAGCTCAGAGTTCCTTCAATAACTGCCACTGTACTACCTGCTTCCTTCCACTAGGGGCTACTGCTGAGAGCCAAAAGCTCTTTAGAGCATTTTCTCCAGCACTTTCAGCTGCCAGGTGTTTCTCCATTATTTTAGCTGAGTGCGTGCAGGTGGCATTTGCAATGGGTAGAGGTGCAGCTGGTTACTTGAGGTTGCAACAGGGGACTAGCACTTTTCTTGACTTAATGGATGATTGGCCATGTGTACTCATGACTTGAGTATGCTTTGCATAGTCTTTAGTCGAGCAACTACAGAGTAAGTTAAATCTGTGTGTATTACCCAGGCATTAATTATAGCACTGTTATCCTGCTCCACTCCTCTTGACTAGAGGAGCCCAGACACAAGCAAATGCACACATATAGTGAGAGAACATACTTATTCAGGACAGTATTTAGGTATATGCCAGAATCCCATTGAAGTTAATAGGATTTAAGCATGTGCTTAAGTACTTTCCTGAATCAGGACCTTCAATTGCATTGGCTTTGGAGCTGTCTGCAATCATACTAAACTACTGCTTTGATTTGTCAAAATCTGTGTATTGTTCATTCTGTAGGTCTGCTTTTCCTGAAGAGTTCTGTTTGGGATTAAGTATTTTCACTGGGAATATGATGCAAGCTATTAATTCATTTCATGTTCAAATTAAAGGAGCAGGAATTTTGTCTAAATTAAATATTTAGAACTATTTTTCTGACAGTGCAACCTTCTTATAACATATATTAGTATTTAAATAGGGGTTTTTATTCCTTTGAAACATTATATGGGCTCTTGTGTTCTCTTGCTGTCTTTTGGGAGGGACTTGGACTGCTCTTGCATCCCTCCTTCCTCTTCGCTTTGCATTTCAGCTGAACTGCTGCTGCTACCGAACCCTCTTTCCACAGGACAGGACAGGACAGGACAGGACAGGACAGGACAGGAGAGTGATTCAAGAGACCAACAGTGAACCACTGAACTTGACTATACACAAAGTGTGGCCAATGTACACAAGAAACAAACAGGAAAGATAGAAACTATTTTTCCTTCTAATCTCTTTTTATTCCAACAATGCCAGGGGTTAATGAACTTATTATATGCAAGAAATGTATTCTGATGGAAGTGTGATTTTTAAGTTGACAAAGCCCTTCTCATAGGTGACTAAAGTAAATTATTGTATGCAATTGTACCTTAAGTATGATTGCTTTTCTGACAGAAATCTCTCTTCACACCTATGTTCAATACACAATTACATCTCCAGTAAACTATTTTTCAGGTCTTTTAAGCAGTCTACTAACAGTAATAGTTTTGGCAGACTCTCCCCAGTCCTTAATTACCTGTCACCTCAAACAGTCTCTTCTTGAATGAACTGATGTTTCCATCCTTCCGCCTGAGTAAGGGACTGCTTCTCCTTTCTGTCACCTTCTGTTTTAACCTGGAACGCACCTTCAAGTTGGGCTCTGAGGCTGGGAATTACAAGAAGAAAATAGAAAATTAAAAAGTTGCTTCACCAAGCCGTGTTTCCACTCCTTTGAATACCCTCCCTCAGGCCCTAGAAAAGAGAGAGCAATTTAAGAACAGCTCTTCAGCACCCTCATATTGCTCCAACCCTAAGATGGTGGATGAGAGGAGTGAGGCAATTAAAAAGCTGCTGCTCCCAGTACTGTTATCACATCAGACCCTAACTCGGAGTAGACCAGAGGAGGAAGGAGGATGTTAAAACACTGGTTTTCAAATTTTATTTCTTATGACCCAGTTGAAGAAAATTGTTGATGCCCATGATCCAACATAATTTGACTAGAGTGTGGGCTCCAGAGTGGGGCTAAGGATGAGAGATTTGGGAGATAGGAGGGGACTCTGGCCTTAGGGGGTGGGGTGGTCCAGGCTGAGGCAGGAGAGGCTTACCTTTCTCAGCTCCGAGCCAGTGGTGCAGCAGGGATGCTAAGGCAGACTTCCTGCCTCTCCTGGCACCGCAGACTATGCTACACCCAAAAAGCAGCCAGCAGCAGGTTCCCAGCCAATGGGAGTGTGGAACTAGTGCTCAAGGTAGGGGCAGTGCAGAGCCCTGTGTACTCTCCTCCACATACAAACACACACACCTAAGAGCCGAGCCTGCTGTGCAATCTATGGTGCCAGGACAGACAGGTAACCTGCCTTATCACCCCCACAGGTTACCCGATACCCCTGCAGCAATGAGACCCAGTGCCTGACACTCCATGACCCAGTACTGGGTCGCAACCCATAGTTTGAAACCCACTGTGTTAAAATATGGTCTTTCCAGAAATGGTGCCACTCTAGAAAGTCCCCCTAGCCATCCACTACCCTAGTCCTGAGCCAACAGTAGGAGACAGGACAGAAGAGGGAACACTTTATTTTTATTTACTTTTTTTCTTCTAAGCAAAATCCCTGAATCTCTGTGTCTTTTACCTTTCTGTGGTTATTAGTCTGCTTGAATGGTATATATGTACCTTATGTTCAAAAGTGCTTGAGAGATTTAGCAGCAGAAAGCCCTTTAAAGGACAGTGAGACCTGTACTTCTAAACCCCTTAAATTATTTCAAAAGTGCCTCTAAAGAGATATGATTCCCCATAAACTTTTCCCTCTAATTCAATGGAGTACAGACCTTCTGCACTGTCAATGCTATTTATAAGAGTGACATTTCAGTGGTTATGTTAAAGAAGAAAAAGAAATTTCACTAGTCAGTCACTGAGTTTATTTTTGTTTCCAGTCCTTAGAGAAATCCCTTTTATTTCTCTCATCCCAGCTGTGATACAGAGAAAGGTATCACAACATGAGGATAGGCAATGTTTTCTATAGCAGTTAACAAACAGCAGAAATGTGGGTTATGAATGTACAGTTTTATCATTAAAATTACCCAGTGGCCTATGAAAGCTCTATTCTACTACATTCCTACTGTAGGTGAAAATTGGTAATAGGGCCTTAGGGAAGCCCTTTTTGGATTTAGACTTTTAGTCTGATGGTAGAAACAGATATAAGCCCGTGCTATGGCCTTTTGATTTCTTACAGACTTACAATTTATATCAAAGTTAATTGATTCTTAGTTAAGCAGTTCTGAGCCTGAAACCTTTATTGTTTTCTGAATAACTGAAAACGAAAGCAATTCATTTATTGCCATACTCTGAGAATATATACACATGAAAATATAAACTCAGTCTGACAAGGAAGAAGTAACATAAAATGCCAGGAATTTTAGGATTATATTTAGTGTATTTTGGGCAAGTTCTTTCACCTTTTTCCTTTACTAATGGGCACAGTCTTTGAAATGAACATTAGAGACCACGTTTTGTGGCATTTATTAATTTGTGTCAACTCTAATATGGAAAGAAAACATTCATGTACCTTATCTGCTTTTCTAAGTAAGCCAGGATTAGTGCCAGCCACCTGTCAGGTAAATTTACAGTATAATTTGTTTATGTTCCAGTGTCTGGCCATGCATGTTTACTCATTAGTACACATGTAGAAAGTTGGAAATTAGGGTTAGCTCTCTCTCTCACACTTACACTATCACTCACATACTCTCTCCTATGAGTGTGTGCATAGGTGCACGCAGGCACCTGAAAACAAGAGTTAGAAGTGGAAGAAGAAAGAAGGAATGAAATCCTGGCTACATTGAAGTCAGTAGAGTTTTTCTCCATTGACTTTAGTGAGGCCTGGAGTTCTAATTCTAGTTATCCTCTCACATGCACTAGGAACACATTTGTTTCCTGTTTTTCCATTAGCTTGTGCAGTGATGAGCACATTAGAAATGCCTGAGATAGATCAAATGGGGTTCCAAGAACTTATTATACTCACAGAGTGGCCAAAATTGCAGGACTGGTTGGATCTGCAGTACCTCTAACCAACCTTTGCCATGCCTGTTCTCATTATGCTAAATAGCTCCCGAGGGAACACTGCGTCCTGCGGGGTTGTACAGTTTGTTATGTGTTCAAAGGAACCATACAGCACCCTGGTACAAAGCTAGAAATATTTAAGAAAAACTTTAAATTTAATTTCAGATTTCACACTTCATCAGTTACTATGAGTCATTGAGAGGAAAGCTGATCTGATCCATTTCTTTAGAGAGATACGGGATTGATACAGAACTGGCAGCTTACAAATAAATGTATGATAAGATTACACTGGTGTCCTAAAAACCTATCTGTGTAGGCTCAGACTATGCATCTCATTTAGTTATTTGGAAGTAAAGTAACTCATATATTCTGCTGACTCAGTTTGTGGTTTGGATTCATTCTATTTATAATTCTCCAAACTCCCAAGCTGCAGGAGAAGATTTCCATACCAGTGGCTAACTAATATGATATAAACCCTCCTAGTCCAGAGAAAGAGCTCTTCAGCATTCACTGGAGAGAATTCCACTTGTATATGAATATATTTCATGCCCTGTCACACTGATTGCCTTTCTATTTTTATCCATATTGCCATCACACTCTGCATTTCAATCAATCACATAAACAGAGAAGGCAGCCTTTTATGTGGATATCTGAGTTTATACACCAGCCGAGACGAGAACCTTTGCATATTTAAATTACAATAATACATTTTCAAATGAAAAGGAAGAGAACAACCCAGTTTTAAATATTCCAAATAAAAGATAAAAATAGAGCTTTGAAAAATATAAGGTTCAGAAACAGTCTTTCTTGAATATCTCTTCTGAAATGCAGCAAACTGAGAGCACAATGCCAGTGAGGATTCTTTAAGGTGAGAGGTGAAAGCTTACATTTTCATACAGCAAGAAGAGGGTGCTAGGGCTGATGATTAGAGAACAGGGTTGAAGATACAGTCTTTGGTTCTAATTAGGGATGTTAAATATCGGTTAATTAATAGTCGAGTAACCTCATGAATTCTTATCAGTTAGTCGACTATTCTATTGTCCCCAGGGGTGGGGCTGGCAGCCAAGGACTCCAGCCCCACTCCTGAGGAGCCCCCTGCCACTCTGCGTGGATTTCCAGGTGGGAGCTGGCCTGTAAGGACAGCCAGTTTAAAAATAAGCTCCCCTCGCAGACCGGATGCCTGTCGCCCTATGTTGCTGCCTCTGATACAGTGGCAGCAGCACAGGGCGGCAGCAGCTCATGTCGGGGGAAATGGGAGAAGGGAAATCTGTGTAGACTATAGCATTAACCTATAAGCATTTGCTTATTGAATAATTGGTTAATTGACTACACTATTAAATCCCTAGTTCTAATCCTGGCTGAGACAACTTGGTCTTTTTATCTTGGTGAAGTCCACAGGATAAGATCCTAATGGCAAAATGCACATCAAACTCAACAGGTCAGGATTTCACCACAATCTCTACAGACCTCAGTTTATTCTGATATTAAAAGATTGTAACAATAATCAACTGTTTTGTAAGTGATATTGTCAGATAGTTTAGACTCTGAATATAGATATTGTTCTTCAAAAAGATATCTCATAGTTCATTCAATATTGATATAAATGATTTATAGAATTAAAAACTTCATTGTTTAAACTGAGTGAAATGCTAACAAGTAAAAGCAAAACTAGGGAAAAGTAAATTATATGTTTACATTATTTCACTTCTGATATTTAAGCATTTTCATTAGTAATTAAAGCATTTTTCAAAAATATACTATATAATTTTTAACATTTCGTTGTCCCTTTATTGAATTAATATTTATGAAGTACTCAGAGATCCTTGAATAAAGATGCTAATGAAGTATTACAATTATCCACTAGTAAGTTTTAAATGATTATTTGGTATGATGGTTTAACTACTGATTCTTAGAAGTAATCTTTGTTATGCTCCATTTTCAGTCATACTCCATATGGTAGCTCATCAATGCATTAAGACCCTGATTCAGTGAAGTACTTAAGCATGTGCCTAACTTTTAAGATTGTGAATCGTTCCATTAAGTCAAGAATCTACTACTGTTAAATTCAGCCTGTCTGTACAGGATGGCACAAATTCTACCTCCCTGAACCAGCAATCCCTTACAAATGAAGAAGGATGCATCCCACAATCCGGGCAGGTGTTTGCACTTCACTGAGAAGGCTACAAAAGGATAGGACAACTTAAGTTTCTGGCAGGACCTACCCAGCATAAACCAAAGATTAATCTAACTCATAACTTTTAAAATAATTTGCATCTGGCTCTCAGCTCCATCAAGTTTTTGCAGTGACTATCTGTACAGTACTTTGAGCTAGATCCACAAAAGGAACTTAAATGCCATTTTAGGCTTCTATCACCAACACTTAGGTGCCACTAGTATTCACAAAACCTTTGCTTTCTTGCTGCCTAACTTTCTGCCAGTCAAGTCCCTTAAATGCCTAAGTTCTTACCAGTGGGTATGTGCAAACTGCCTAAATCCAGACACCATTGAGTAATTCGGTGCCTAGCTCATTCCTAACATATGGCAGGATACTCACATGCAGGGCATAGTCTGTTTTGAATGATCTGAGTATGACTTAATCCTCACACAAGACAGCT